GTGTCGGAGCAGCATTTTCTGTGTTAGTGAAGTTGGGTAGGCTCACATATCGCTGAACTAAACAGAAAATAATTCGAGTTTTTATTTTTACTTTACTTATTTTTAGTATACTCAGCTAAGAAAATTTGGAACAAGAATTCAGATCAAATAGTAGAAATATAGCTTTACTATATAATATTTAATTTGCATGTGAGGTATATCTATCATAAAGAACAATACACACTACAAAGACAAATCTATAAAACAACCCAAATTGTACTTCAGATAATACAGATCATATTGTTATGAAATCAAGAATACTAAATATTACTGAACAATTCTCTGTAGATACTAATAAACTTGAGGATTGTCAATCTGTCTGTTTTGTTTATTAGCGGCAATCAATTTTTATTGTTACTAGTTTTATGTTTCTGTGGGTACTATGACTGGCTTGTATGCATTCCAAAATATTAACTTGACCCGTGAATACTATGATTGGCTTGTATGCATTCCAAAATATTAACTTGACCCGTGGATACTATGATTCGCTTGTATGCATTCCAAAATATTAACTTGACCCGTGAATACTATGATTGGCTTGTATGCATTTCAAAATATTAACTTGACCCGTGGATACTATGATTGGCTTGTATGCATTCCAAAATACTAGCTTGACCCATGAATACTATGATTCGCTTGTATGCATTCCAAAATATTAACTTGACCCGTGGATACTATGATTGGCTTTTATGCATTCCTAAATATTAGCTTGACCAATTGTTGAGAAACATTCGTAATAGTGTACGAGTTCTAATAGGAAGAATTAGTTACATACGTGTCACGTGAGACCTTATCCATGCAATCGGGATAGTACTGTACATAGGCTCGGCCTTTACACTGTATCATCGACTAATTACAATACAAGATATTCATGTGTTGGTGCCATCTGTTTCGTGTAAATTAGTAATAGTTGGCTCTAAAGGAAAACCTTAAATATTGGGCAGGTACCAGAGGATTGGAAGTTAGCTAATGTAACTCCTCTTTTCAAAGGAGGTGATAAAAATTGTCCCAGTAATTACAGACCTGTTATCTTACATCAGTTGTGGGAAAAGTTTTGGAAAATCTGTTAAAAGATGCTTTGCAAAGTCATTTAACAAAGTTTAGAATTTTATTGGATAGTCAACAAGGTTTCACTAAGGGAAAATCTTGCCTTAGAAATCTTTTGACATTCTTTGAAAAGGTTACTGTTTATATTGCTGAGGCTATGGATGTAGATTTGGTGTATCTGGATTTTCAAAAAGCATTTTACAAGATGCCACATAAAAGGCTTGTAAACAAAATTATCTCTATAGGTGTGGGGGATAAGTTACCAAATTGGATAGAAAAGTGGCTGGATAGAAGAAAGCAGAGGGTTGTTATAAATGGAGTTCAGTTAAACTGGATTAATGTCACAAGTGTGTTACCTCAGGGCTCATTCTTAGGACCTTTGCTCTTCTTGATTTACATCAATTACATTAGATGAAGGAATAGTCAATAATTACATTAATTGCAG